GGGTGGGTTTGCTCACATGCGTGGGGAAGCAGTGCCTGCCTTCATACAGTTTATTCCAGATGAACTGGTTTATAAAGACTTCTTAAAAGTCAAAAAGGGAATGAAGTTCAAGAAGCAGCACCACCTTGTCAGCAAAATCACTCTATTATTTCCCTTAAAGGTGTAAGATTTAGCCTCTGTTTACCAGGATACAATGGTCATCTCTGTGGTCACCTGAACTTACAATCTAACTGAATATTTGAAGTGGCCCTTGCCTCCTCCTACCTAGCTTCCTCCAACTCTCCTATTTGTCACTTGGAATGTCTCAAACAACAGATAAAGAAGGATCCATTTTAATTTTATCCCTTTTAAAAATAATTTTCAAATGTCTGAACAATTTCCTCCGAACACTTAGGTACTGTAACTCAATAAACTGACTCCCTACTGTGCATTAACAATAATGCACCTACTTGTTTCTCTTTTCTTCCTGCTGACATGATACAGGTCAGTGAAGGTCATTATTGTTCTGAAAATATCAGCCAAGTCAGTGGTTTACGTCACCCACAGCTACATCCATTTTACAAATGAAGAAATGAAATGGCTTGTCCATGAAGGCAGCACAAATCTCTCAGTAGGTACAAACATAATCCTGGCTTTCAGAGTCCAAATTCCTTGTCCACTTCTTACACGTAACCTTTGATTGCACATGGTACGATGTAGATGTGATGAACACGGGCTATCACAGAAATGCCTTTTGCAACCAGTAAGACAAAGAGCATGTGTAATGAGCAGGGGCAAAGCAACAACAGTAGGAATACATAGGGCCGTCAGCAGAAACTAGTGATAGCCTTACGATAGCAGCCTTTCATTTTCTTGCATGGCTTCTTTTACCATTCCTTTAACCTCAATTTTCTGAAGGAAAAAGCAATCTCAATTTGACAACAACAACAACAACAAAGTGGGGTCTGTAGCGCTGTATATCCTTCATCCTTGTGAATCCTGCTAGACAGAGCATTCAGCTGCCATAAAAAATACACACTTAAAAATTCCTTTTCCAGGTCTACACTCCAATGCACTTCATCAGGCATGGACTGGACTGTTAGAGCTTCATGACAGGAGAAAGGCTCCTGCAGCAAACTACAGCCAGAGTGTGCACCCCTGGTGAGATTTTGAACACAGAAGCCTCCTGCACGGCCTGTGTCCCCAGGCAGTTGTCAAAATGGAAGGGAGCCCGGGTGCTGTGCAGGATGAATATGCGAGGACAAGCTTTGCTGGGGAAGGAACAAAGAGACCATCTCTTTGATGGCATGAGGCCCAGCTCAGCGTGACACCGCAGGGATGTGTGTCTCTGGATTTCAGAGCCACTGGAAAAGCCAGCAGAGCACTCCAGAGCTCCTGCGGGTACCACCAACAACCGCAAATCCAGAGCTAAAATCATCTGATGAAAAAATCTCGGGGAGAGGAAATGTGCTTGTCTCTGTGTTTATACGTGGCCTAGCACAAAGGTTCCCTGGACAAGACCCAAAGATCTGACAAATGTGCAAAATAATGAAGAATAATTATAATCTGGGGTGCTGAGAAACCGTAAACAGGTTGAACTTGTTCAGTAATGTCACCAGCCCTAACCTGACAGGCCCGGCCATGCCTCCAGCGTGTGGTGACACGGGCTGACGGCTCCTCTCATGTGACAGGCTATGGGCAGCCTGAGGCCCTGTCACCACACAGATTTTCAAAGCAGATCGAAAAGGAACCACTTTATCTATATCCACTGCACATCTCCACGCAATTACCCGTGGTTTCTGGACGTGCCTTTTCACCACCCATGCTGAATACAACCTACTTTGCCATCCTCATTTCATATGAAATTACTGCTCTGGAACAGCTAGCAACTTTGCAGCTGTTGATGGGGGCACCTTATTGATAATATAAAGGTAAATAACAAAATGGCATCCCTCTACCATCCAGCAGGTGAGAAAAACATCAGTGTGGGCCTCTGTGGGAAGGAGATTCTGCCCCTAGCAGCAAGGGGGGCTACAGTCAACAGCCATTGCATTGGGGTCTTCTAGGGCCTGGGCTCAGGGACACCTGGAATGGTGGCAGTGGGGAGGGAGATGTTATTTTGCTGGCTTTGATGTATTCTGTTGCTACCGACTGAAAAAAGCTTCATAAGGGTAACACAGAAGTTAAGTGCCAAACTGGGCTACTTATTCTAGTAACCATTCTATTGACTACAAAGTGGGTCAAACCTTATGTAGAAAAAGAGAGGAATTTCTGCCTTTGGAAGCAACAGTAACAATGTCAGGCTCTTGTTGGCTACTTTACACTTGGAATCTGGTGACCCTTGTACTGATGCAATGTGGAAGTAAGTAATCTAAAGGCAATAAAGTTACACTAGGACAAATAAATTGAGTCCGAGTTGTGCACTTCTGGCTACATCTGGCTTTTTCATAACTGCCCACAGGGAGCAGAACACAAAGCTGCAAAGCATCATATTATACACATGTGATATTCGTGGTCAATTAAAGCACAACAGGGTCATGCCCTAAGGACCCTGCTGTCTTGCAGAGGCTTAATACTGCAGAGGTTAGATTAAAGGAGAAGAGAGGTGAGGTTCTGAAGGAGAAGAGCATCTACAGAAAAACTTATTGAAGAATTACATTAGATTTTTATAACTTAATGATGGACAGATACTTAGCCCAACTCTTAGAATGGATAGTTTATGGAACAATTTATGGAAATGGTTCAAAATAGCATGGACATGTCGCATACATCCACAAAAATCTGAATAACTAAAAATGGTTTCATCAATTTTTTTTTCAGATGTAGTACATTTGCAAAAAGTGCATATAATATATAATTAGAAACTTGATAGGAATTTTTCAGCAAATTTTTTTTTCTACTGGAAAATGCCAGTGTTTGTCAACGATCAAAGCCGTCTTTAAAAAGGAAAAAGTTTGGGGCAAATCCCTTGTTCTACAAGCTTTATATGGGGTTTTTTGTTACTTTGCAAAGAAAAAAAAGTTCAATTTTTAATATAAATCATTTGAGTGTGAACATCTGATTTTAAGTAAAAGAATAAAATAAAAATTGGAAGAAAAAAAAACTCATTCAGCTATGTATAAACCGAAATTTCAATTGTTCACTTTCAAGAAGTATTTCTCTGGCTTTCTGGTTCAAAAACCAGAATACGAGTCTTTGTCCTAGACTGAGGGAGCTCTAAAAAATATGTAAGTATATCAAATCCATGTAACGTGTCAAATCATATGTCACGGATTTCCTCTTTGCTCCTACCTTGGCACTTGTCTCCTGCAAATACTCAAGGAGAAAAGGGAACAAGTAAGTGTATTATGGTCCTAAAAACTTCCTGGTATGTGGTAATCTCTCCTCATTTTCCGGCTTTGCCCACTTCTGTCATTTTAGATCACAAAGTACCTAAGACACTTTTTTAAAACTTTTTTTTGTGCAGACCTTTGCACAGTGTGCCCTTATCCTGAGTGCAGTTTCAATAGGGCACCAGTGAACATTAACGGCGTCCTCTGCACTTTTTTATAGATGTGTGTGTCTCACACACAGAGTCTGGCAGGCAGAAGAGCAAGAAAGGGGTGAGCAGTAAAAGGGGACTACTGTCCTTTGGCACAGAAAGTAGAGGTGAGACAGATCCAAACCTGGGTTTTCAGCCTGGCAATAGGGAACACTGACCCAAGCCAACAGCACCTCCTACATGGGGCACAGTAACTGCTCCATCATCACTTCCATGCTCCAGCTGCACGGTTATAAACCACAACGATGTGCATTCAGGGACTGCTGGGGATCTGGTTTTGGCCACTGAGGGTCATGTGCTGTTCAGTACATCTACAAGTACCAGCATGCAATGAATGCACACTCCACAGTGGCTTCTCGCCACCAACAATTTAACTGCTCCTCCTTTTCCAGCTCCCCATTCCAACACATCTGCTTGTTCGTCTGCAATCTGGGCACTTAGTGAAGTGACTCAGGAATACTAACAGGAATGGTTATAAAGTCCATGTAGGGAGTAGAGGCCTTCTCTGCAATTATTCCGGTCACTGAGTTTAGCGCTCTGCCCACTATTTCAATCCTCGTGACACAGATTAGATGTGCATAACATTATGAATCTATAGGCATACAATTGCTGTTGTAAATGATTACTACTTTCACTCTAAAATGTGCAGAAAAGACACCAGATAAGTGTCCATGTATACTTCAAAAACAAAATACACTTTCTGCCTTTTGAACAGAGCAACAGACTGCCATCCAGGAATGGGAATGTAGACATTGCCTTGGGATTCCCAATGGCTGAAGAACTACTCTTTATTGTCAGAATGATCCTGAGAGACACCAAGCACATACGTTACAAGGTAATGAACCCCAAGTACTCTCTCAAAAATGAGCACTGACAGCTGGTAGAGAGAGGCAGGGTACATCTAGCGCTCCTGTCATCAGCTCCTTAGAGGGGTTTGAAGGTCCTCATCCTTCTCTCTAAATGTTACCAACTTTGTCCTACGTCTGTTTTAAAAGCATAATGATGGGGAGGAAATTCAAACTAGAGATTAGTGGCCAGTGGAAACAAAAGGATGAAAATTATTGATATGCCAAAAAAAAAGCGCCATTAAATGCTCCAGTTTCTTAGACAAAAGAGAAGCCTTTAGCATCTTGACATTTGCTATACCAGTGTATTTACACTGTCTCCTACTCTTAGGACAAACAACACTGTGAACACATGGCAACTTAAACAGCAAGTGGTAGATGGCAACGCTCTACTGCCAGGCAGTGTTGTTTGGTTATTTTTAGCTTGTTCACCCTGGTGCTGTGGTATCAGACACTTTTTCCCATGGCCCATAGTCCTTCTGATCACACAAGCCAGGGAGGTGACAGCAGACCTGACTCTCCTTTCATTCACACGCTTTTGAGTTGATGTAGTCAGTGATATCACAAGGTTTTAAATCAGGTCACATTTTCTAAGAAAATGAAAGAAGGTCACTCATCTCACAATGCCATGAAAAGACTGGCCATTACAAGAGAACAAGGATGTTCAGCTTGGGCGTGGATTTACTGGGGAGCAGAGGAGCACTTAGCTCTTCTCCCTCCATTAGCACCAGCAGCAGTAACCATGTGATTGTGCAGCTCCCACAACCACAAAACATCTGGAACCAGTTATGCCAGTTCAGTAAGTAAAGGTCAGTCACATTAAAACACACACACAAGGAAAGGATTTTGTAAAGCTTTTTACAAAAATACGCTACTTACCTCCTTCTCTTTGAACTATGTGGTACAGATGAACTGTATGCAGGATATACTCCAGATCCTGATCTTGGTAGCCTTTCTCATGCATGTCCTCCACTGAGTCTGGATAGATGACTTGATCACGTAGCGTTCCAATGGACATGTAGGGCCTGAGAAACAATACAGAGAAACTGGTAATCTGGAGCTGGCTCCAAGCGAGCGCATCTTGCTGGTGCTCTATGAGCATAGTATAATGCTTTAAACACCATGTTGCTAAAACTGGATTTATCTGTGGGTGCGTTGTGGGCGAATGCTCTTCTAAACTTACCCTAGAGACAATGTATTGTTTCCATAACAGCTGATTACAGCACAGCAAAAGGGGGTAGTATTAGCATGAAAACAAAATGACAGATCAGGCAGAATAAACATCACCTTCCTAGCCCATTCTGAATGCTTTCTCTTGGAATTAGGGAAACTCTACACTGTATTCAAGGTTTGGTAGGCTTAGAGATGTAGAAATCGAATTAAACACTCAGATGTCAAAAGCAAATTGTAACAAAAACATTGCAGCTCAAACAGGGAAAGACTTGCATGGTGCAGCAGGAGACACCCAAGGCAGGAAGGAGAGCAGTGAAAGCCTCCTTTGCAAACTGCTACTCTGGACTGCAGAACTGGGCCTGGGCATAACTTAGCTGGCTCTAGAAGCCAGTGGACCAGTTCTGAATTGCAAAAAGGCACACATTACAGAAGCTGATCAGCTTAAACCTCCCAGCACCAGCCTACCTTTCCCAAAGACAAGGCTGATCTGTATGTGAAGCAGCTTCTGAATCACCATGTTCTGAGACCAGGTAATACCATCTGTCTTAGGAAAACAAGATGTCTCCCCTTTGGAGCCAGAGTTATCAATCACGGCTATGTCTCTGGATTGGCTATGGACAGTTTCCACAATGTCATTACCTTTGCCCAGCCTCTTCTATAGCACAGGCCCCCAAAATCTTCCTAGTCTCTGAACAAAGTCAGCTCAAATAACAGTTTCACAGCTCTCTGAAAGATACCAGGCCATTCAGGCCGGGATAGCAAAGGCAACCTAAGACACACCTATTTGACCATCTCTTTTGTTGCTCTTGTTCTAAGAATTTCTTGCAGAGGACAAATATCCATCCTGCCCCACAGACACTGCTGATAGCCCTTGGAAGCTGGAAACACCCCGGGAATGATCTGTGAGATCTGGAGTTTGGAAGGGAAGGCCAGAGCCAAAGAACAGTCAGGCTCCAGCCTCTGTCCTGCCTTCTGTGCCAAGAGTTACACTAACTCCCTCTGGGTTCATCTGCCAAAACAATACTAGTCTTATTAAAGCTGTGGTGCCAGGGGATGATGACAGAGAGGAGCAGTTAAAATTGGGCCAGCACTGAGGAGGCTTCCAGGCAGCTCGCTCTTGCCACGTGAACTGCTTCCAACAACTTCACAGGGTGTTGACGAGGGGTCAGTTTTCTTCCCTGAAGAGCTCTGGACCTGCATGGTGAGAAGGTCTCAGCCATGCATTTGAGGCTTTCCCTGACAGAGATGTGTAATACCTTAGAAAATTTCTTCCCTTCCCTTGGCTGTGTCTCTGCAGAAGGGGTGGATCTACCCATTGTTATTCTGAGAGTCCCTAAAATTGACACCAAGGAGTAATTTGAAAGGATTCAGAATGCAACAGATGTAGAATTACAGAGCTAAAGCTGCAACGTGAACTGAAAGTCACATTCAAGTTGGCATCAGCTGCACTGGTTTTGGTGCTGCAGATATCCATGGTCAACTGTCTGTACCCACCCATAGTTAAACTACTTTCACCACCAGCTGGGTGAGGCTGGGAAGGGCAGGGGATCTGAACTGCTCACAAATATTTGGTATTCTCCCTGCTGTGGGCAGCCACCCGGATGAAGCAAAACCAGAACTGCAAGTCAAACACAAGTGTTGCTGCTCCTCTTTGCTTATTGTTCTGCTTTGTGCTTACTGTGGGAAGAGTGCTGCTCTGGGCTGCTGCAGGAACGCTAGCGTCAAGTGCAGTGAACCATTTACATTAATGGGGTTATTGCAAAATCTCAACTCTAAAAATTATGTAACTTCATGAAATAATGATCTGTTACATTTCCATGCTGCTCTCCAACTAAAATCCCAAAGGGCTTCATTTCCTGCATACGTAGAACTCACTTCACTTGCTCCATTCTGCTGCCATCTCTGGGACAGAAGACAGCAGCTCCACCTGGGCTCAGAAGTTCAGACCAGGTTGTGCATAAGGCAGCATAACTTAGATGAAGGTGCAAGTAAGGGCAAGGAGGACAGAGTTACCTATCATATAATTTGTCTGGGCTTTAATGCTTTGCTCTTGTGAGGTATGATCCTGTAATGACCAGCAGCTCTGAGATTTAACCTACAGCACAACCGGGAAAGCAGCGCGCCAGGACACTTGTAGCCGTGCCGTTTACTGAGTCACCAGCACCGCTTCCTGGTACAACTGGATTTTCTTGTGGCCTCCCATCTAAACACACCAGTACTACCAAGCATGCCTCTCCCCACCTAGTTCGTAAAAATTAAAGAAAAGCCCAGCCTGCAGTGGAATAGCAAACCCTGTCAATTACTGACTAACTAGCAGAGAGGAAGAATGGCTTATGGTTATGGGCCTGTCCTGTGAGGTAGGAGAGCACCCACCCCCCAGTCCTACATAGAGCCACTCATGCCCCTGAGGGGACACTTCATCTTAATTGGCATGAGATGTCTCGTTTGGGGCTCCAACTCTTGACAACAAAGAGAGGTACCTCTGTGGCTGGTTCATCCCATGTATTTTAGGGTGGGGATGGATTGCCTCCTGGGGGTGTCTTCTCCCTCAATAGGGGAGAGAGACCAGACAACTAACTTAGTTATCTGACTTCTACAGTGCTAAAGTTAGATGAGATCTCATCTAACTCATACTCTCATAATCTCATACTAAACCAGATTTTTCTACCCATAACTTGAAAACAATAACCTCCTTACATACCATGGGTGCCCCAAAGTCAAACACACTAAAACCTGTTAAACATCAGATGTTATTATAATTGAGGTTACATGTGCGTGATAGCCAGACATTAAATAGTAAGTATTATGGGTAACTGGATACAGCAACAGTGAAATTTTGGCTTTGCCAGTAAGCTCCTTGTTAAAATACTGTTTTCATTAAAATTTTAGCAGTTCAAACAACAAAATCAGTCTTTTTGTCCTGAAGTAATACTCAAGTTTAACTGGACTTAATTGATTTCTGATGGAGCTTTTCCTTTCAGCCAGAGTGTCTGGGTTTTAGTCTCAAAGAAAGCACTCTTATGGACTCCAAAAGCAACTCTTCTGCCACGTGGAGGTCATGTCTTTGACGGTAATAGCTCTGCAATTGTTTTCTTTCTTTCTCTGGTCTCTTAAAAAAGATTCCTATGCTGCTTCTGAGAGACAGGATTTAAGATCAGTAATACTTTTTAAAAGCTTTGATATCAAACCTCCAGAAAGCTAAGGAAACTTACTGATTCTTGCCTGGTTTTCTAGAATTTCAAGGCATTTATTGGAAGAGACACTTTCAGTTCTCATAAACCAATCTTTTTTTATGGTTTGATGGTTTTATTGCATCACCAGTTTCTGTTTGGTGCACTTTGCAGAGCTGTAACTTCATTCTGGTGTAACAAATCATAACCCCTAACGCTTACAGCATCCCCCTTGCAGTGCAGGCTTTAGAGAAAGACGGTATCAAGATATGCTGCAGTCTGAAGCCCGTGATATGGACAACTCCCCAGTGCCCTATTGACACATGACATTGTGTACAATGTTGGCAAAATATTAGAGAAATCATATGGGGACGAAGAGCAAGTGTTGCTGATGAGATGGTCTCCTTATTGCAGTTAGCTCTGGGGAGGGAGAAGGGGGAGGTCCTACAAAACATACTGGAGTACTTACCAGTCACTTGTCTTTCCAAAAAGAGGACTTATATGTAGGAATTGTTAGGCTTAAAGAGGGAAGTATAATGCAAAGGGATGGTAGATTAACACTGCACACTGTAACCAGGCAGTACTAACATTGATTCATTCACTGATGTCTAGAAGAGTAGAGGGCGTCTCTCTTTTGAGTAGCAAGTTAAGGAAGATGACTTGCTTAGATGTGAACAAATTTCTGTTCCAAAATCAGAAGAAGCCCTATCCACTTGAAATGTTTACAAATACTTCCTAAATATATTGAAAGGTGTTTTTATCTTCCACGGAAAATAAACTGTGCTGGCAGAACTGATAACCTGTTTTGACATCCATAATATTTTAAAGAATTATAGCAACAAATAAACATGCACTTTGAGAGTCTACAAAGCAACCCTAATGGTTAGAGTCTTAATTATAAGCACCCCAGAATAAGAAAGGAATAAAAAAATATATATTTTAATAGAAAGGCTGGCATCAGAAGTCCAATGTAGGTGCCCAAGGAACTGCTTTTCAGTAATGTCTAAAGCTCATCTCACCTTTCTTGGCACAGGCTATGATCAACATTTCCTCCATGGAAGGTAAAGTGAGCTTGTGGCTTGTAATTCTGGAACCCATACCCATGCACTGGACTAAGCAATCAGGACCAGACTTGCCATTTGCTAAGTGTTTGCAGTTATTACTGCACCATTATTCTTACAGATATGCAAAGTTATGTGGGAAAAGCTTTACCTTCTAGAAAATTATGTATAATGCAACTATAAGCTCCTAACTGACCCATCTTGTAAGTTTCTGTCTCTGGCTGACAAGATGCCTCTCTAATATACCCAAATAGGAGAGAGAAAGGGGAACATGACAGCTGGGATTTGCCATTTCAGATAAAGTGCAGCTTGGATTTTCCAAGAAGATGGGGATGGGTTCAGAGTGCAATCCAGAGTGCTTGCTTTGACAGCTAAAATAAAATGTATTCCAAATGTAGGGACCTCTGTTCAATAAGATGATACTGGAGCCCAAGCTCCAGCCATGGAGGGATCTTCCTAGGAAACTTGGAAGATCTTAAGGAGTCAGCGCTTGCACTGAAGAATCTACAGTCCTGAAAGCTAAGGGCACAGCTCATGTCTCCAGATGTGCCCAAATGCTGTCTAATTCCACAGCAGGTCCAGTACAGCACAGAATATGAAAGCAGGAGTTTGAAGCCCAGC